CGGCGTCGATGCCCTCTACCACACCCAGGTGATCGATGTGGTCGCGGACGACGACGCGCCTCGCGCACTCGTGCTCCACACCAAGTCGGGCTTCGCCAAGGTGAGCGGGACGCGGATCATCGACGCCAGCGGCGATGCGGACGTTGTCTTCAAGTCCGGACTGCGCACGACCAAGGGGAACAACGGCGTCGTTCAGAACCCGACGATGATGTTCAAGGTCGGCAATGTCGATGTCCCGCGTTATCTCGACTACTGGGGCGAGGATACGATTTCCCCGCCCAAGGTCATCTCCATGCTGGAAGCGCGCGACGAGCTCGTTCGCAAGAAGGTGTGGCTGTTCCCACGGTCAATCCGCGCGAATTACTGGTCAATGCGACCAAGATAACCGGCTTCGATGGACGCGCGCTCGACGTAACCGACCCGGTCGACCACACCGAGGCGGAGCAGTTCTCGATCTATCAGGCCCGCGCCTTCTTTCAGTTCCTGAAAGATAATATTCCGGGCTGCGAGAACGCCTATTTCATCGACTATGGCGCCGAGGTCGGCGTGCGTCAGACCCGCTCCATCGACGGAATGGAACGGCTCATGAATGCGGACGTCGTGGGCACGCGCAAACGACCTGACTGCATCGCCCGTTCGAGCTGGCCGATCGAGCTTCATTACGGCGCCAAACCGAAGACGGAGTGGCTGATCGACGACTATTACGAGGTGCCTTTCGGCACCCTCGTGCCCAAGGAAGGCCGCAACATCATCGTCGCCGGCCGATGCCTCAGCGCCGAACACGAGGCGCTGGCGAGCTGCCGCGTGACCGCGCAGTGTTTCGAGTACGGCCGCGCGGCCGCGCTCGCGACCGACATGTCGATCAGGGAAGACGTGCCCTTTCAGGAGATCGACGGTGTCGCCATCGCCGAGCGAATGAGGACGCAGAGCGGGCTCGGGCTGACGGGCGGGCAACGCCACGCGCCCCAATTATGACCAACTATAATCCGCTAATTACAGTGTATTGCATGAGTAACCTAAACCAGAAAATGGGATAATGAATGGTTGCCGTCACCGTCGACAGAATCGAGCTGCTGGCGATCGGTCCCGATGGTGAGAAGGTCACGTGGTCCTCTCATCTCGGCGCCATGCACCAGGCGTTGGTCGTTGCGCGGCTGTTCCTCTCCAACGGCGTGGAGGCCGTTGCCGGAACCACCACCTACACCGAGCATGAGTTCGACAGGACGACGTTTTTCCGCCGCGTCCCTCATGGCGCCGTTCGTGCTGGGACGCGATGCGTTCGACATCCGCGCGGCCTATGCGGACATGCGGAAGCGCTACGTGCCGCTCGGGCATATCGCGACATCGCTCTTCGACATCGCGCTACATGACGGCAAGGCGAAGACCTCAGGTCAGCCGATTTACCGAATGCTCGGCGCATCGCGGGAAGAAATCCGTGCCTACGCGTCGAGCCCGTTGTTGCGGACAGATCAACTCTACGTCGACTACTGTCGGCAGATGTACGAGCAAGGCTTTCGCGCAATCAAGATACATCCCTATTGCGTATTCGACGCCGACATGCGTCTGGTCCGAACTCTCGTCGAAACATTCGCCGAAAGAAGCATTGGTTGGAGTTTGGATGTCGACGGAATGTACACGTTCGATCAGGCGCTTCGTATGGGACGTGTCCTGGACGAAGCCGGCTGGGAATTCATGGAAGCACCGCTTCCCTGATGCGGATTTACGCGGCTACAAGGCGCTCGCCGACGCACTTGATCTCGACGTGATCTGCAGTGGAAACAGCCTCCCCAACCCGCAGCTGATCGAGTTCGCGCTGCAGATGGGCGCGTGGGATCGAAGCCGCTTCGATGTGACCGGCATCGGCGGTTTCACCGGTGCGGGCGAGGTCGTGTGCGGCCACCCAAGCCCACGGCAAGACCTGCGAAGTGCAGAGCTGGGGATACACCCTCACGCAGGCGGCGAACCTGCACCTGATGCTCGCTCATTCGATCTGCCGCGGCTTCGAGCAGGCCACACCCGTCGAGATCTACGAATTCGGCGCAAAGCAGGTCATACGCCCGGACGCGGACGGCTTCGTCCGCCCGAGCGGCCTGCCCGGGCTGGGAGTCGAGATGGACTGGGAGCGGATCGAGCCCTGCGTCTACGCGCGGCGCACGTTCCCGACATGACGGTCACGATCGAGCGGGTGGAGGTGGTGTGCCTCCAAGACCCGCAGGCCCCCTACTACCGCTTCGAGGGCAGCTATCGGAACGTCGTCGTTATCGCCCAGGGCGACAACGGGCTCACGGGCATTGGCGAAAGCGACGCACCGCCCGAGATCGTCAAGGCGGCGATCGAGATGGCGCCTTACAACCATCTGGCCGAGGGGCTTGGCGCCATCGTGACCGGGCAGGCGGTGGACGACCCGCCTCGCCTGTGGGACGAGATGTATTCCCGGACGCGATGGTTCGGCCGCCGCGGCGCTGGCAATCTGCGCGATCAGCGCGCTCGACATCGCCATCTGGGATCTCTTCGCCCAGTCGAAGGGCGTCCCGGTCTGTGAGGCGCTGGGCGGAGCGCGTCACGCCCGCCTGCCCGCCTACGCGACCATCTATCCCCTGGAATCGGAACCCGCGGGCATCGACGCGCAGGTCGCGCCGCTTCTGGAGCAGGGCTTCCGCCATCTCAAGGTCTGCGTTGAGCCTTGGTGGGCGGAGCCCGCGCGGGTGCGGCGAAACCTGACTCATTTGCGCGACCTTGTGGGGCAGGACCGCGGCCTGATGCTCGATGTCGCGCAGGAGTTCACGCGCCTCGAACAGTTGGCGCCCTATCTCGACCTGCTGGCCGATCTGAATTTCGCCTGGATCGAGGCGCCGTTCCCGCTCGACGATGTGGAGGAGCACGCGCGGCTTCGCGCCGCAACAACCATTCCCAATCGGCGTCGGCGACCTGGGGCTCACCACCTGCAAGGAGTTCGAGCCCTTTCTCGCGGCCGACGCCTTCGACATCGCGCAGCCCGACCTGACGATGTTTCGGCGGCTTCACCGAGGCGCTGCGGCTCGTGCAGATGCTGGAAGGCACCGGCCGGCGCATCGTGCCCCACGCCTACAACACCGACATCACGATTGCGGCCAATCTTCACTTTTTGGCCACGCAGCAAGAGGTGGGCCTGGTCGAGTATTCGACGAGCCCGTCACGCCTGCGGCGGGGCCTCGTTCGCGGCCTCCCGCCGGTCGGAGAGGATGGGACGATCCCGGTGCCCACGGCCCCGGGCTCGGCGTCACCTTGAACGTCGACGCGGTCGCGGAATTCGCGATCAGTCGCGCCGCTGAAGCATCCCGTTGATCGTGAGGCCCCACCGCCAGGATGATGCCGCCCAGCACGACCGTGATGAGCCCGACTGCCGGCACCATCGGCGTGTAGCCGCCGATCATCTTGCCGTAGAGCCATTCGGGCACGGTGACGTCGGCGCCGCTGGTGAAGTAGGAGAGCGGGAAGTTGCCCCAGGACAAGAGCACCGCGAAGAGGAAGCCGGCGAAGATGCCGGGCCCGAGCAGGGGCAGTGTGATGGTTCGGAAGATCTGCCAGCGCGAGGCGCCGAGGTCGTAGGCCGCCTCCTCCACCGCCGAATCGTATCCGTAGGCCTGAATCGCGACCACCAGCGTGACGATCGGCACGATCCAGACGAGCTGGGCGAACACCGTCGACTGCCAGGACATCTGGATGCCCATGGAGTTGAACCAGAGCTGGAGCGCGAGTCCCAGCACCGCCTGGGGGAAGAAGACCGGGATCAGCAGCACCTGCTGGAAGAGCCTGCGCCCGCGCCAGTCGTAGCGGGCATAGGCAAGCGCGCCGAAGAAGGCCAGGATCACCGAGATCAGCGCCACGCAGACGGCGACCGTGAGCGACGTGAGGAAGCTCTCGTGTATCTGCAGCGAGTCCCACGTCATCTCGTACCACTTGGAAGACGTCTGCCGCATCGGGGAAGAGGAAGAAGCGCGACTTGGAGACCGACGCCAGCCCGACAATCACCATCGGGATGTACATGATCACCAGAATGACGGCGATGTAGGCCGCCAACAGCCGGCGGGTGAGCGGCCTGTCGATGGTGCCCAAGGCCTAGCGTTTTCCCAGCATGCGGTCGAGGTTCACCCGCCGCATCGCGAGCCACACGGCGGACCCAGCCAGCACGATCATCAGCACCGAGAGCGCGGAGCCGCGCGGCCAGTTCTGCCCGAAGGTGAAGGCGGATTCGATGTCCTGCGCGATGGTGACGATTACGCCCTTGCCGAGGAACTTGGCCTCGTTGAAGGCGCCGAGCGAGATCACGAAGCAGAGCAGCGAGCCGATCAGAATTCCGGGCATCGCCAGCGGCAGCTCGATGTCGCGGAACACGCGCCAGCGCGACCCGCCCAGGTCATAGGCCGCTTCGCGCGCCTCTGTCGGCACGTTGCCCAACCCAAGCAGGATCGGGAACAGCATGAAGGGCAGGTAGATATAGCAAATGCCGAAGACGATGGCCGGCACGTTGTTGACCAGGCTCCCGGTCTCGAGGCCCGTCACCACCTTGAGCGCACCGTCGAGGAAGCCGCTCTTGTCGAAGAAGAGCACCCAGCCCTGCAGCCGGATGTTCTCGGCGACGAAGAGCGGCGCCACGATCAGCAGCGTGAGCAGGTGGGACCGGCGTCCCTTGATCCGCCTCAGCGCGATCGCCAGCGGATAGCAGACGATCAGCAGGATCACGACGCTGATGAATGCGAGGAAGAGCGACCAGCCGAAGGAGATGTAGAAGTTCTGCTCGACGATATCGACATAGTTCTCCAGTGACGGCGTCTCCGTGACGGAAAAGCTGCCGCGCGGCATGAAGCTGTAGACCAGCACCAGCACCATCGGCCCGGCGAAGCCGATGATAAGCAGGATGATGATGGGCAGCGCCGCGACGAAGCCCTCGGAGATCTTCCACGGCAGGATCTTGCGCCGCGGGCGCTCCGGCATCTCCGCGAGCGTCTCGACCGCCTCGGTCATTCCGGGAAGACCATCGAATCGCCCGGTTGCCAGGAGAGCGTCACCTTGTCGCCCGGCAGGCGCGTGACGGCGTCGGCGCGCAGCTCCTCGATGAGGAAGACCATCGCGCCGCTCCGCACCTGGTACTGGATGCGGGAGCCGAGCAGATATTCGTTGAAGAGCTCGCCCCGGATCGCCTTGTCGCCCGCCTCCGTCGCCGCGCCATCGGAGATCGCGACGTTCTCCGGCCGCACGATCAGAACGCCGCGGCTGAAGCCCGGCGGCATCCCGGCAGGCGGCTCGAAGCTGGCGTCGAGCGTCTCGCAGTGGAGCCGCCCGTCATCGGCGAGCTGCACCGGGAGCGAATTCACCTCGCCCATGAACTCGGTGACGAAGCGGTTCTCAGGCTGGGTATAGATCGTCGCGGGGCTGCCGACCTGCGCGAGCTTGCCTTCGCGCATCACGCCGATACGGTCGGACATCACCATCGCCTCTTCGAGGCTGTGGGTAATGTAGACGAAGGTCTTGCCCGTCTCGCGCTGGATGTCCTTGAGCTCCTTCTCCAGCGTCTTGCGCAGGCGATAGTCGATCGCCGACAGCGGCTCGTCGAAGAACAGGATCTCCGGGTTGAAGGCCAATGCTCTGGCCAGCGCCACGCGCTGGCGCTCGCCGCCCGAGCACTGGGTCACGGCCTTGTCGTAGTAGCTCTGCGGCAGGTGGGAGAGCTTCAGGCACTCGGCGGCGCGCTGCCGGCGTTCCTTCTTGCCGATGCCCTTGCACTTGGCCGAGTACTCGACGTTCTCGCCCACGCTCATGTGCGGAAAGAGCGCCAGCGACTGGAAGACCATGCAGGTCGGGCGCTTGTTGGCGGGGACGTCGTTGATCCGCTTGCCCCTGAGCAGGATGTCGCCGGAGGTCGGCGAATCCATCCCGACCAGCAAGCGGATGAGCGTCGTCTTGCCCGAGCCCGAGGGGCCGACGATGGTAAAGAGCTCGCCTTCCTCGATATCGAGGCTGACGCCGTCGACGGCGTTCAGGCTGCCGAAGCTCTTTACGATGTTTCTGAGTTGCAATATGGGCGTGGCTGAGGCCATCGCACACCGTGCTCCCGCCATGCGTGCGTGTCGGCGCGGGCGGCGTACCGCCCGCGCCGACGACCAAGGATCAGGCGCCGCGGCTGCGCTTCGCCTGGGTGTAGAGGTCGTGCATCGCGTCGTAGTCGGGATTGATGTCGAAGTCGACGCAGCGATCGACCAGCGAGGCCAGCCAGCTGCCGTCCTCGCCCCAGTGCACGGCGTCGAGCTCGTCCTGGGAGAACTGGCTCAGCACCTCCGGCGCCCCCATCTGCACCACCGGGTTGAGCGTGCCCGGCGCCTTGGCCGCCACCTTGTAGGCGGCCTCGGGCGTGTGGCAGTAAATAAGGAACGCCTCGGCCAGCGGCGTCGGGTCGGGGTTGTTGACCAGCGAGGTGACCTCGATCCAGACGATGCCGCCCTGGCCCATCGGCCGCTCGGCGGTCTTGGTCTCCTCCGGGCCTTCCGCCGGCACGACGTTCACGAGCTGGGTCTCGCCTTCGAGCCTGGCAGCCGAGACGGTGTAGACCGAGCCGGGGTAGGTCCCGATGATCTCGCCGGTGATCATGTCGCGGGCCAGCGCCGCCTGGTCGTCCGAGACCTTCTTGGCGTTCTCGAAGAGCTTGAAGATGTTCTCCTCGAAGGCCGCCATCTCATCGGCGGTGTGCTCGCGGAAGGGGATGAAGCCCGACGCGATGCAGGTGTGCATGATCACCCAGTTCTCGTAGTCGAGGATGCCGTACTGGCCCTTGGCGCCCTCGATCATCTCCATGTAGCCGCCGCTCTCCATCGTCTGCGGATCGACCAGATCAGTATTGACCGCCAGGCCGGCGGGGCCATAGCGCTGGAGCATGCCGAGCAGGTGCTCGCCGCTCTCGTCGAGCGCCCAGTGATAGGGCCACTCGAAGCCTCCCCACGTTCATGTCGTAGAGCGGCGCGAACTTGTCCTTGTCGAGGGGCACGATCAGTCCCTCGGGGAAAAGCTGGTTGCGCTGCCAGGAGTTGTTGAGGTTGATCACGTCCCAGGTAGACGTGCCGCCGCCGCGCAGGTTGTTCACGGCCGCGGGGTCCGAGATCAGCATCTGCGGGTTGACGTTCGCCCCGGTCTGGCGGCTGAAGGGGTCGAGCACCGGCTCTTCGGTGTAGCCCTCCCACGAGTGCAGGTTGAGGTCCATGCGGATATCGCTCATGCCGGCGAGCTCGGCCTTGGTCTTTTCCCAGAGCTCGTTCGCATAGGCCGAGCCGGTCGCCGCGTTCGCGCTGCCTGCGCCCGCGCTGAGGGCGGCCGGCGCCACGCCGACTGCGGCGGCCAGCGCCGCCGACTGCTTCAGGAATTGCCGGCGCGAGGAGCTGAAGCTCCTGAAAATGTTTCCACTGTTCATGTCGTCCTCCCGGTTTGCCGTACCGTCTTGCGCAATGTGGTCCGCATCGCATGCTAGTTGATGCCAGGGACCGTCTCCAGTACGTTCGCGTCGGTTCCGCAAGCCAGCCAACCGAGGCCGTCGACGGTCTGCGACGGGGCCGCCGCAGGGGTGACGCAGTGCTCAGAATGGTCGGCATTCCGGCACGCCGCCAACGCTGCCCCGATCACGAAAATTTGACGCTGACAGAGCCCGCGATTCATAGTAGTCGCAGCGATTAACGCTAGTTCGCAGTGACGTGAATTCACGGCCTTGAGAGGCTCCCGGCTTTTGGAGAACGCAGCCATGACAGATCGCTGGTGGGAGAGCCGGTCGGGCGTGAGCACCACACTGGCGAACGTGATGCGCCCGATCGAGGAGTGGGCGAGCGGGCTGCCGAACGAGGCCTATGTGTCGGACGCCTTCGCCGAGTGGGAGCAGGATGTGCTCCTGGCCCGCACCTGGGCCTGCATCGGCACAGGCAGGCGCGTGCCTGAGGTGGGCGATGCCATGCCGCTCGAATTCGCCGGCCTGCCGCTCTTCATGCTGCGCGGGCGTGACGGCGAGGTGACGCGTCTTCCACAACGTGTGCAGCCACCGCGGCATGATGCTGATGGACAAGCCCACGCGGACGCGCGGCGCGATCCGCTGCCCCTACCATTCCTGGACCTACGACCTCGACGGCTCGCTTCGCTCCACGCCCATGATCGGCGGCACCGACAGCCACACGTGCGAGGGCTTCGAGCGCGCGAAGCATGGCCTGAAGCCGGTGCGGACCGCCACATGGTTCGACGCCGTGTTCGTCAACCTGAGCGGCGACGCACCGCCCTTCGAGACCTTCATCGCGCCGGTGGCCAAGCGCTGGAAGGATTTTGACGGCGCCGACCTGCGCTATGAGGAGAGCGACTCCTCCTTCACCCTGGATGTCGCCTGCAACTGGAAGCTCGCGGTGGAGAACTTCTGCGAGGCCTATCACCTGCCCTGGATCCACCCCAGCCTCAACAGCTATTCCAGGCTCGAAGATCACTACCAGATCGCGGAGGAGGAGGACGGCTACGCCGGCCAGGGCAGCACCGCCTACCGGCCGCAGCTCGCGGAGAACGGCAACGGCTTTCCGACCATGCCGGGCCTGCCGGCGCGCTGGCAGGGGACGGCAGAATATGTCGCGCTGTTTCCCGACCGCGCTCTTCGGCGTCCACGCCGACCATTGCTACGTCGGCACGCTGATGCCGGCGGGCACCGGGCGCACCATCGAGCATCTCGACATCTACTACTTCGCCGACGAGGCCGTGGGCGAGGGCTGCGCCGAGCTCAGGGAGGCCAACACGCGCCAGTGGCGCGGGCATCTTCGAGGAAGACCGCTTCGTCGTCGAAGGGATGCAGCGTGGCCGCGCCTCACCGGCCTACAAGGGCGGCGTGCTCTCCCCCGTGCTGGAAGCGCACCACCCACTGCTTCTACCGCTGGGTGGCGCGGGAGATGATGGAGGCGGCGGAGACCAACGGCGCTCCGTGAGCGGCAGCGCTTCCGGTCAAATCTCGCAGGCGTCGCCGTTGCAGCCCTGCTTGTCGCGTCCGAATAGGGCGCGGACCGGCGGAAGGTAGAGCGCGAGCCCGTAGAGAAAGAACAGGGGAACCTGCAGGCATACCTTGCGCGTGGCGTAGACGCCGGTGAACGCCCTGCTGCTTTGCTTCTCCACCACGACGATCTCGCCGACGGGAACCGCGCCCAGCGGTGAATCGTCCGTCCGCAGCTCGACGCGGCCCAGCCAGTCCATGCGCGCCGTGAGGCTCGCCTGACGCACGCAGTCGGGGCAGCGCGGATTGTAGAAGAGCGATACGGTCATCTCGCGCGGCTACAGCCTCGGCGCCCACGGGGCCGGTCCGGCCGTAGAAGCCCAAACGCTCCCTATCGCTGAAGGTGACGTCGGGCCTCTCGTAATAGGAGAAGACGGCGATGATCCTTGCGCGATCGCCTTCGACCGGCGTCACGCGATGCGCCGTGTTCTTGCCCTTGAAGACGTTGAGCGTGCCGGGTGCGAGCGGCAGGGTCTGCACGCGTTCGTCATGGCCGGTCAGAAGACGGGCGACGCCTTCGTAGTTCGGATCCGAGTCGCTTCTGAGCCCGCTGCGGTACCGAAACTCCCCGCCCGAGAGCGGCGCCTGCAAGAGGATGGTGATGGTGAATTCGGCCCGGTCGAAGTGCCAGTTGAGCCGCTCGCCAGCCCCATAGGCCATGACGTTGATCCGGCCGAGGGGATCGGCCATCGGGTAGAGCCGCGGCTTCTCCAACGCCGCCGCCAGGAAGTCGATAAGCGGCTCCCACTCGTAAACCTGCGCGATCGTGCTGGCCGGAATCTGGTCGCCGCAGATCGTGTGATTGACGGTCGTGTGTCGGCTCAGCGCCGGGTGGCCGGCCTCAAGGCCCTCGATCTCGTCATCGAAGTAGATGTTGTGATCCCGGGCATGGGTGAAGGAAGCCGTGTCGAAGAGCGGCTCGACCTCCTCGATGGCAGCCCGAAGGGCCTCGGGACGGACGAGGCCTGCGAGACTGAACATGCCGGCGTCGCTCAGCTCGCCCCGGCAGCGGGCGACCAATGCCTGCCCGCGCGCGCTGTCGAGCGCGTCCACGGGCCAGCGATCGAGGTCCAGGATCGATTGCATGACGGCGCTCTTGGGTCCGGGGCTCGCCTCCCCCTCCTCTACAGCCAGTCCTCTTCCAGCGGATAGGAGGAGAGTTGCTCGTAGCCGTCTGCAGTGATCAACACCTGCTCCTCGAGCTTGACCGCCTCGCGGCCACCGGCGGGCGCGGCGAGCGCCTCCACGCACATCACCATCCCCTCCTGCAGCACCCCGTCGTCTCCGGGCTCATAGTCCTGCGGGTAGGGAATGGCCGGGTATTCGTCGCAGAGCCCGACCCCGTGCATCGCCACTGAATAGCGGCCGTCCACGAACTCGTCGCCGAGGGGGCGCAGCCCCTCGGTCACCTCGCGAAAGGTCACGCCGGGCTTCAGCAGCGCCTTGTCGTGCAGTATGTGAGTGTAGGCCTCGGCATAGATGCGCCGCTGCTCGTCGCTCGGGCGCGCATCGCACACCCAGGTTCGCGATATATCGGCGCAGTAGCCGTAGGGTCCGACAAGGTCGGTGTCGAAGGCCACGATGTCGCCCCGCTCGATAACCCGCATCGAGGATTCGCGGAACCACGGATTGGTGCGCGGCCCGGAGGCCAGCAGGCGGCACTCGATCCACTCGCCACCGCCCGCGATGTTGCCGCGGTGGAGCTCGGCCCAGAGCGCGTTTTCCGTGATGCCGGGCCTGAGCGCCTCGCGCATCCCGACGATGGCCTGCTCACACACGGCTATGGCGTGGCGCATCAAGATGATCTCGCCGTCCGACTTGATCTTGCGGGCGTTCTCCATCACTTCGAAGCCGTCGTGAATTTCATACCCGAGGCGCTGCATCTCAATCATGCCCACCGGCCCGACGCGATCAATGGCGATCCGCGGGTTGCCACCGCCCCGCTCGCGAATCACCGAGTCCAGCTCGGCCGCCCAGGCTCGCGCGTTGTCAGCCTGCCGCCCGCCGGCAATGAAATAGAGCACGTAGGTCGCGCCGCGGACCTCGTCGATTGTGGGAAGTCCCGCGTTAATCAGGTCGCTGCCCCCGCCGAATTCGAAGAGAGTGACCGGACCTTCGGTCGGCACGTAGAGGTATCGCGCCTCGTTGTGGGCACACCAGACCTGCATATTGGATGCATCTGTGGCGTAGCGGATGTTCACCGGGTCGTAGAGGATGATGCCCGCGAGATCGCGCGCGGCCAAAGCCTCGCGCACGCGCGCGAGCCGGTAGCGGCGGACCTCGTCGAGATCGCACGGCGGGATTGTGTGCTCCATCGCACCGTGCTGGCGCGCGGTATTGGTGCGGTCGGTGCCGTCAGTCATGGGGCAATTCCTATCGGGACGGGGAAGCGCGACTGGAGCGTACTACGGTCCGGGCCTCGATGCGTCCGGTCGTCGATCAACGTGGCTACAGCCTTTCCGCTTCTATCCATAGACGCTCCCTACCTACCGATTTGAACTCGCCCCGGGAATGAGGCGCAATACGATCAGTGGGAATCAGTATGCGCACGCGCATCGGACCTCGCCGTCGAGCAGCCTCATCCTGCCAGCTTTCGCACCTCTCCAGGCGCTGGCGTCCCCTCAGCTTCGAACCCCCAACCCGTCCAATTGGGATTGGCCAAGCCGAGCCCGTCCGGCTCGCGCGCGAACAGCTCGATCTTGCGGAGAAGAGGGAACATTTTGTCTATTCGCAGCCGTACCTCGTCCGGCTTTTGCGAGTGTGCCTCGCGCTTGGCCGTGACAAGCTGGCGGACGTTCCTGGCGCCGCGCGGGGACGGAATCTTACCCTTCTTGAACACGAGACAGAGCTCGCATTGGCTCATGGTATAGAAGCCGGGGTTTACCCTCACCTTGTCCCAGACGAAGGCGACCGTGGCCCAGGCGAAGCCCCATGCCTTACCCAGGTCGATCGCCTGATCCAGGTGCGGATTGGTCGCCCACATGAACAAGAGGCAGTCTCGCGCCGAAATACTTGGGACGTCTAACGTCTTGAGATCGTCGAGGGTCACGGTCGGATAGTGCCTGCAGCGCCGCCTGTGTCCTGGCTGCCCTCGCCGGCGTGTTGAAGCTGCCCTTTGTAATCCCACGGCGGGTCGGCATAGATGATGTCGAATTGGCCAGACGGCAGCGGCGGAAACGGCATCCCCATCGTCACACCTCGTGGCCAAGCAGCCTCTCGTCCAACGGGAACGTGCTCATCAGTTCGATCCCTGTCTCGGTGACCAGAACCTGCTCTTCGAGCTTCACCCCCTCACCGCCCTCTTCGTGGCCGATGAAGCTCTCCACGCAGAGCGTCATATTGGGTTCGACGACACCGTCGTAGTCTTGCCCGCCGTCATAGTCGGCCTCGTAGATCATGTACGGATATTCGCCGGTGGCACCAATGCCGTGAATCATCACGAAGTACCGCCTTGCGTAGTACGGGGCGGGAATCGTCCAGGCCGCCTCCGTGATCTCCCGGAAACGACCCGCCCCGGCTCTGCGATCAGCGCCATGTTGTGCTGGATCTGCTCATGGGCGAGGCGATAGAGCGTTCGCTGCGCCGGCGTCGGCCGGCCGTCGCCGCAAAGGAAGGTGCGCGAGAAATCCGCGTAGTAGCCGTGCGGGCCGACGACATCGGTATCGTGGGCAATCAGCTCACCGGCTTGGATCGCGCGGGTGCCGGTCTCCTGAAACCAGGGGTTGGTTCTCTCGCCCGAGCTGAGTAGCCGCGTCTCCACGTAATCCCCGTCGTTGGCGATTACGTGACGATGGAACTCAGCCCACAGCGCGTTCTCGGTGATCCCCGGCCTCGCGGCATCCTGCAGTGCCTGTTCCGCCGCCATGACGCACGCCATCGAACGCTTCGAGCAGACGATCTCCTCCGGTGTCTTGATCGAGCGCGCCCTTTCGGCCGGCGCCTGAGCGTCGAGGATGGTGAAGCCCGCGTCGGCGAGATAGCCGACAGCGCGCGCATCGATGCGCTCCAGTCCGATCCGCGTCTCGCCCGGGCAGTGCTGGCGCATCAGCGCGGCGATCTCCCCCGCCCAGACCTTTGCCGTCTCATCCAGCAGCGGCCCGCGCGCCACGTAGGAGACCGTCGTCGCAACGCGGATCTCGTCGATCGCCGGATTGTCCCGTTCCAGGTGCTCGCAACCCGCGAACTCGAACAAGACGACCGGCCCTTCCAGGGGCACGAACACGTAGCGGGCCGGATTGCGCAGGACGAAGGGCATCATGTTCCGCGCGCCGGTCGCGTAGCGCACATTGTGCGGGTCGGTCAGCACCAGTGCCGCGAATTCGAACCGCGCCATCTCCGCGCGGAGCCGCGCCAGCCGGCCCAGCCGAAGGGCCGTCTCGTCCGGCGCCGGCGGCAACTCGCTCACAGGGTCACTGCGCGGCGTGTTGGTCTCGGTCGGGAATGGAGATCACGGGCTCGACCTCGCGCAGCTCCTCGAGCGGGATATGGCAGGCAATCACGTGACGGTCGGCGTTGGTTCTGAGCGGGGGCGGCTCGGTCTCGCAGATTTCGCCGAGCTTGCGCGGGCAGCGCGTCGAGAACGGGCACCCCTTGGGCGGGTCGAGCGGGCTCGGCAGCGAGCCTTGCAGGACAATACGCCGCCTCTCGACCTCGGGGTCGGCAATCGGCACCGCAGAGAGCAACGCCTCGGTGTAGGGGTGATAGGGCGGCGAGAAGACTTCTTCCGTCGAGCCGCGCTCCATGATCTGCCCGAGGTACATCACCACCACGCGGTCGGCGAGATAGCGGACCGCCGAAAGATCGTGGCTGATGAAGAGCAGCGTGGTGCGGTGCTCGCGCTGAATGTCCATCAGCAGCTCCGTCACCGCGGCGGCCACCGAGACGTCGAGCGCCGAGATCGGCTCGTCCGCAATCACCGTCTTGGGGTTGCCGGCGAAGGCGCGGGCGATGCCCACCCGCTGCTTCTGGCCGCCCGAGAGTTGACGCGGCTTTCGCGAAACAAAGGTGCGCGGCAGCTTCACCGTATCCAACAGCTC